TAATAAAGTAAAGCTTGTTTTTCTTTTTAAATTTAAATTTAGAAAAATTCACTATTCCAAATTTGAAAATTTTAATAAGAAAAAGGTCACTTTTTTAAGAATATCTACCTCGAGATGGTACATATATGTACTGGTGGGTACACGGATAACTATATATCTTCATAGCATTTATAAAATGTGTTTGTATATGTATATATACACACAAGCTGGTTTGAATCACCAAGGTCATTATTGTATATACTGCAATATATCTTCTAATAAATGTCAATTGTGATGAATTTTTTTTTAAACAAGAGTTCTTATTGGTTAAAACATGAAAATCCTACCTCAATGTCACACATGGGCTGTTGCTTAATCAGAACTATTTTTACTCATTAATCCCTGAAATTTCATAATGAACTATTCCAAGCTATGAATTGGAGGAGTTCAAATGTGTCTTCAGGGGTGAATGAGTAAATGAGGAAGTACATAACTCAGTGGCAAAAAAAACAACCCAGCAATATATCATTCAAGATGATGAAGACTGCCATGCATGATTCAGCATCGGAGTGCAAGCACCTGTCTAGCTGCCAGCATAGCTACTGTATGTTATAGTGTCATCAAGCTCCAGCATCTGAAGCCATGGACTAAGTCTATCATCTACACCAGCAGGGGCTTAATGGGTAGTACAGGTGGGCCACACAGGTAAAAATTACCTGTCACACCTTGTACGTGATAAAGCTACAGACAGGAATATTGGGAAATGTTAAAGATAATTTGTCTACAAATCCCATTTAGGAAGATCGCATGTAAACTTTTCTTTCTAGAGTCCAATTCATTATCTAATTTTCTTATTATAATGCATGAATACCCCACTCTGACAAATAGAAATACCTGAGGTCGTGTGTTTATAGTGCATGATATACAATTACTGAATATCCAGGACATTTGATTCCTTTTATTTTGACTTCACTGCACTTGTTTGCGAATATATATTTTTTTAGGAATTCCCAAGGTGAAACCATAACCCCTTTCTACACTAACAGGTAACACAGTATATCTGTACACATGTCCTGTATGTGTGTTTATATGTACTGAGGATTCCCGTACAGGAAATGATATAAATCATGTTTTCGTTTCCTCTGAGATAACCCACTGTTCGACACTTCCGAGAATATATACATAAATTTCAGGAATTTACCCAAACATTCAGACAACACGGAATACCAACTGAAAATACCAATCAGCTTAACAAAGCGTTTAACTCCTGATAAAATCAAAATTTGTTCATAGAATACTCGTGTACAATGGCATACTAGTTATTTTTAATTTAAACGTTTTTTACAGAAATAGGTATGGCACTGTGACTGAGATATTATGTAAACCGTCTACATATATACCGGTATGTACAAATTATTTTTTAATACCGTTTTCTTCTTTATTTTCAAGATTTACAAGATAACAGGGATTTTCATATTCATGTTTAACAGCTCGTGTCTATTTGAAGTTATAAAATGATGGTAATATTTGAGTGAAACAAAATTTTGACATGTTTTTTCAAATATTCATATGAAATATGTGCATTTGAAAAAAGAAGTGTAACACATATATTATTTACTATAGAGACCCTAAAAGGCCAAATTCAAGGAAAACATCTGGACACCCATTGGTTACCTAGATGTACCTGTCTGCTGAAACTGACACCCTGAAAAGATTTATATCTGAACAGTTAATCCATGTCTCTGACTAAAGAAAGTGTTACACCTGTCAATATATCTGTCAGCCAAGTAGCCAACATCAAACCTTCAACATTACATCATATTATAGGGGAAACAAAAACAAACAAAGACAGCAGCAGGACAGCTATGAAGGTGTCATCAGGTCTTTTGTGGTCATCAACTAACTGACATAATCAGTCAGGGAAACGGACATGAAATGACCTCAGGTCACTCTGGATTCTAGGCAAAGATCAGTGGCCATTATGGAAAATAACAGTTACAGGTCACCTCAGGCTGATGTATGGCAAGGAAATGTAAACAAAAAATATTACAGGCCCTTATTGATTGCTTACTTACACAGAGCCCCAAAAAAGGTCCCCCCCACCCCCACCCCACCCTGCCTGTAAATTCCTACTCAAGTGTTAGCCCTTATCTGAATTTTGACTTATATTAAAACTTACACTGTTTAAGTCTGAATGGTGGCTGTAGATAAATATAAACCTACCATAATCTTTCAAGAACCAAAAAGCAAACATAATACATTTGTAAATTCAAACACTTTTATAGCTTCTCATAAATAAAACCTTCCAGCTGACAAATGCAAAAAAAATATCCGAAAAATTTGATAACATTTGGTAATTCAAATATATATTCAAAATTTACTTAAGGTACATATCACAAATGAACAAACAATACTTTAGCCATTAAGGCAAGTTATTTTTCTACACTGGATATGTTTACTTTGGACGGCTGGACGCTATCATCACCAGTTATATATACCAACGATTTGTATATGCGACCTTTTAACCTTTAGAGCTCTGTGTACAATATAAGTATGTAACCCCATTGATACTCTATTAAATATTAAACTAACCGATATACCATACACAAAACATTTTATAAAGTCACTTATTTTTACTCATATATTGTAACAAAACCATTCCGTACAATGAAACCATGAAAGATAATTTATTTTTTAACGTGTTCAAAAAGGTACTACAGGTAAGAAAAGCTCGTAAGCACGATCGCCTGGGCTTTAACCACTGTATAAATAGAAACAGGTATAAACTTGAAAGTGGGTCTCCATTATAAGATATTTATAAACCCAGTGCTCATGGACTATGGATAGAATGTAACGCTTCACCGCACGAACGAGTGAAAAACTGCATGATGTTTCCAAAGCCAACGAACAAACATAGTGGTTTGGATCAGGGGCGAAACTGTGAACCTATTCAGATCATAGATTAAACATGTATTTTGGGTGAATGGAATTTTAGAGTGACGTCAGTGAAGGCACGATATTATAACTATAGCGTGCCAATTTCCTTAACATTAGCAAAGACATATATAATGACCTTGGGTAATGAATTGGAAATACAATAACCAAGTTACCTTAAAATCATTCAAGGTCATGGCATCTATTTTTGGAATAAATCATGTTATATTATAGTTAAATTGTAATATATATTAGCAAGTATGCATAAATACAGAAAGATTCTTGACATTTAAAGGTAAAATAAGCCACCCACCCCTCAACAACAAGAAAGATACCGAAAATTGACACTTTGTCATTATTCGTGTCTTTTGTTATTTTGATAGTCATGTCTTTTGTTATTTTGATAGTCGTTTAATTTACTGAAGAATATGCAGCAATTACATTCAATAGTGAATCAGGCCCAAGTTCTAGCCACTGACAGTCTGTATAGCGCATATTGGTATATAAAGGCCCCGGTTCTCATTAACTTATTATTAAATTATTCATGTATTTCTAAATGCTTCCAGACATGTTAAAATAAACATTCTAACAAGATATTGAAACATATAGTGGATCTATTATAACTTTGTCTGTTACAAATTGAACATTTTCAGATCCAAGGTATTATTTTGCATGTATAGTATATATACTATACCCAGAAGTGCTTTTGATATGACACTTTAATTTGTGACAGGAATGTACTAGGAAAAATAATTTATGGGTTTTTCTACTACCTGGTCTGCAAATGAACCCTGATGATTCACAAAAACAGTCAGGTGGTAATAGTCCAAAACGTTTGTAAATGATAAATTGAACTTGACATTCGATGTACCTACCAAAAAACCCACTTTAATTCACTTCAGGTATGACCCTATGCTGAAGTACAATGCATAACAATGTTGTACATATACAGTGTAATCACAAACTAGAAGGCACAGCTATACAAAACTAAGTAACACAATGTTGTAAATTCCAAATATGGACAAAGCTAATTAAGAATCTTTTAACAATTAATGATAGATTTTAAGCTAAATTATCAGTTACACAAGCAAATGTTGTTGTTTTTCTTTAATTAAGAGTAAACACCAATATAACATTCTGTAAACAATTTAGATTTACTTAAGTTTCAGGAAACAGAAAAAAAAGAGTTCATGGGAATGTTTTGGTTTAAATTTGTAGCCTAGTTTAGCTGCTGCAGCTGGCCTAGAGGCTGCAACACATCAGTGGGTGTGTTATCAAATTACAGTGCCAGACCAGAACCACCAGACTGAGCAAGTTTATTTATGTCAAGTCAGGGGTTATTTTTTAAATCAGCTGACGAAACAAACATTTCCTGAAATAGGTTTTAAAAGCAGTTGACAAAACTGACAATTCTTTTCACAAGATTAAAAAATATATATATTATGGTTGATAAATTATGATTTCATTATTTAATAGCAGTATGTTCCATTACAGACACCTGACAATATAAAATTAACTTAGGCTGGAATACAGTAATTATTATACTGCGCCAGCGAATTATCACGACTTCTGAATAATTTGAAATAATTTCTACAACGCCTGACATCCATCTCTATGTGTGTATTATCACAACTGTGTATTAGACTCCTGGAATATAACATTTCACGCATGGCTACATTCACGTGAGCGTATGTGTCCTACAAATGGAAAGCATGCTGGGTCCGACCACTCAAATATAGCCGGTATATTGAGATTAAAATTCTCTCCTTTAAATAACATCTCCGAAAATGACCACACCCGACAAACAACCCCCAAACGAGTATCGTCTGAAGGTACTCATCCGTATCTCAACCGGGTGGGCGTGGTGGTATCGCAACATGAAAACATATGGCCCAAATGTCAAATAAAAAATACGATATTTAAACAACAAAATAAAACTAACAACACAAACAGACAAGGACATAAACAAACTTCAAGTTTAAGTTGAATAATTCATTTAGTGTTAAGAATCAAAAGTGAAATGTTACTTTAAAATTTTAACTCCATATGGGAAACACCCATCGGTATATATTGTATAGTACACTTACTGTTGATGAGGGGGATTGAAAAACGTCGTGGTCCAAAATTTCGCCCATATCTGGGTCTTCCATGTCGCAAAGGTTATGGTCGCTTTCGTAGAGCAGGTCCATGGTCGTTTGTCCCGATAGGGTTCGTTAAAACCCCGAGGGATAGGTCAGAAATCCCGTGGGTCAGTCAATTGAAAATTGCTCCTTTTCCTCCACCTTGTGTCAGAGTTAGTGAGTTCGCTCAAGGACGGATTACACAAACGTGATATATGAATACGCCCGTGTAGGGACTATTTTAGTAATTATAACCTTTAATATTTTCTTACTTAATCCACTTCGTTAAATATCCACGATCACAACATCTCCTAACAAAAACACTTAATATATTCCTTGGTGGTTACCGTACCAGTATTTCTTAGATATATATTTCGTCATCCGTTCTGCACGAGGATTCACTAGCGAATGAATACTCCATTGTAGAACCGATATAAGACTCTCTCGTCATAGACTTTAAATCAACCAATCAGAAGCCTCGGTCTAAAAATAATGTCTTCTCCGTCTGAAACCACCTGTGACCTCAGGGTTTCACTTTATCACTTCCCCAGGCCATCGTTATGACACGGAAAGGTGATATTGCTCCGAGGGGAAAACACATAATAATGCTTGATTACCAATATTATCAGCAGTTGTCTGCCATAAGATAAGTGTTTTCATTGATATCAAAATAGAGGTGAGAACTGCATCATTTTTATTCAAAAGCAGTCTGCACAGTCACGGAATTAGATTAGATCTAAGTCCTTGGTACAGTAAACAATTTTAACATTTAACGTGAAATATTCTAATTATAGGAGTATTATTGTTCATTTTATTTTCTTACAAAAATACTATATTTGTATGAAAAGATTCAACGTTTAAGAATATTTTATTTTATTTGAGCGTTTTGCTCAAATAAAATAAAATATCTTATGCATGAATTATTTTTCACCTTCTGGTTTTGTTTTGTTTTTTTCATTGTGAGAACTTTCGTTTCGATGGCACTGGCCAGAGACGTTTATATTTCTCTGCACTGGCCAAATACGACTTAATGAAAACTCAATCAACATGTACAAATGCATAAAATATAGATATATAAAGACGGTAAACAATTATAGCTACCAACAGTATTAAGCACAGTAAGATCGATATTTTGACCCAAAGAAATCCCCTTTATTTAACCGTTAATGCTGGAGCTTTGTCACAGAAAATCTCCAAATGTGTTTAAACAGCAATGTTATAACTTTACAATTTTTATATCATCTAACCTCACAATAGAGTCAACTAGATTTGTCTATTTCATAAGTATTGTTGAATTCGCATTTTAAAATTTTATTGAAAATTAAATATTTTATTGAATACATGTTAATAGTAATGCACTCCAAATAGCTTTCACCAATCACAATAGTTAAATGATAGTATTAAGTTGAATCTAGAGTGAACCATGCCTGAGTGGAGCAGATCCACACCAAACAGAAACTCATTAAATGAGAAAGAAGTGTGCTTTTGCCGGAGAAACCAACATCAAAAAATCTATTTCGCGAGGAGGATGACCAGCTGGTACGTCAACTTTGTAATGACACTGACCAAGTTAGTGTACCTATCGGACATATAAGACTGTTGTGAACCCTGTCAGAGATCCAATAGGAAACAGTCTGGTACTGTAGTCCAGCTGTTTCAATAAACGATCGTTTATGTCAGTTTGATACTGCAGAGGATAAAACCATGTTTTCTAATGGAATATAGATTTTACTTGTTTTAAACCAGACCCAGATGTGTTTTTTTTAGTACAATTCGTACTTTATTGTTTTATCTCAGTGACAATTTTAAGCTAACTATTTTGTTGGGTTGAATAATTTACACTAGTTTCAGATTTAAACTTAAGTTGAGGATCAAAATTATAAAAAAAATATTACAAGGGGAAATCATAGTTGATTTTCTTTTGTGGTATATTATACGAAATTACTAAACTACCACAGGAGTTGTGTTTTTTTTGTAAATGACGTAAATACTTTTAAATTACAATATAGTGCCCCAGTCAAATTTAGTTTGACGTCAGTGTCTATATCAAGCGATTGTGTAGGGGGACTGCTGGCACAAACTATCGTATTGAAAACGTATTGTAATGAGCACTGTATTGTATTGTGAATTGTTTTACATGGTACTTCTGTAGACGAAGTTAATATCTCCGGAGTTCGATGGAGATCGTTGAGACAGGACCGGATTCATACAGTCACACGTGTATCCAGTGACAACCCATGCATGGGTAGTACAAAAAGTGGCCTCTTAACGCAGATTGTCTCTTAAAAAGGTTTAAATTCACTAAACAAAATACAGCTTTGTGGAACATTCAAAGTGCTCTCTTGACAAAGATGGTCTCTTAATAGAGGTTGCATGACCAGATTATACTTTGGTGTGGTGTCCCTTCTATTTATTTTATGGTTATATCAACGGAGCCTCTCGTATAAGATATTTTACACTCTTATCTATGAAATCACGTAATCTCCACTGAACGTTGATTTTTTTTATTGTATACCTTTTTATCATATGGTTCCAGTCTGCCGTGGAGGGGGCGCAGCATTACGTGAATCTATAGTTTGCTATAGTACAAAAGAAGCTGAAATGGGACAAACTTGTTTTGTTTGTGTACGTCCTCTAGTCAGTTCAATTCAATTCTTTTATTCTGTAAGCCATTTCGGCTTATAAGACAAACTACATGTGTACAATGCAGTTATAATATAACAATTACATACATAGCATTCATGCAGTTGTCTTTAGGGACTGTTTTGACTTCTTCAAAAACACATTATATGTGCACATGATTTTGATAAACAAACACAAGCAACAACGTCATTGGAGGCTCTTCGTAAATCGTGTATTTGATAATAAAGAAAAATACGTAAAAACTGACATTAAACACCTCTGTGCATTTTATTCTTAAATGCCCCTGTTATTCTGATTTACGTGAGAAATTTTTAAAAAAGTACTATTGTAAAAAACCGAGCATGTTTAAATTAATTCAGTTATTTAACGGACAAAACACAAATGAATTAGCAAAATTGGCCAAATACATTAAAGCTGCAAATTCAAGAAGAGCTTTATTAACATAAGTAGTTATGCTCTCCGAGTGTTTTGTCTCGTCTGTGTATTTATTAGTATTTTCGATATTTGTCAATGTTATGAGAAAGTATATATATATATATATATATATCATGTATATGTGTTACACTGATGAGTCGCAAGACTCAAAGTTAATAAAGAACTTGATAACTTGATAAGCAAGTGTATTCTAAATATAGCTTGGGACGACACGACATTCTGTTGGATACAATACCTGACGGTCCGGATATAAGTACACCGTGTATACGTACATATGTATATACTGTGTTTCATATTTATTAAAATGTCACACTTCAGGGTACATACCTATATAAACATTGAAAACATTTACATTTTTCTATTGTCCCTTCATTAGTTAGAATTATGAGACATTATGTTAAAGTGACTATTTATCATTTTATGATAATTTGTATACAATTAAAATACAACACATTCATATAAAGTATTTTAAAAGTATAGGAGAAGGTGGGGGATTGCGTTTTTAGTATTCCCGAAAAATAACGGATGGGATGCTGGGGGTTGGGGGACCTTTTTTCAATTATTCAATAATCCCAAATCTGTTCTAGGGTGGAGATGGGAGTGCGCAATTGCATCATCTTCATGATACAAACATACGTTGAAAGTCTACTGTTGGTTACATATACTCTTCCACACGAAAATGTATTGAATACTTCAGTGTCTACAATCAATTATATTCGGCTATTCTTTTCCCAAACAAACAAGGTTGGACGCTGCAGCCGATGGTCCAGAATTAACGTGAATGTATTATGTATGTGCGCGCGTTCAAACCTTATTCGTCAAAGACAAGTCAAATCACATACGGATTAAAGAGTGAACGCTCCTTGCATTAACACTCGCAATAAAATAGAGGATGTTTTTGGTAGAACGTTGCGCGTACATGATTTTCTTGGTATATTGTCTTATAGTAGATGGCTACGAACATGTCGCAAACACAGGGACCTGATAATTTGTTACAGCTATATTGGGACCTAAACTTAGGTGTTTAGAGTAACTCCATCATATGATCATTGGGGTGACATTTTTACCAAAAATCGATACAACCCCTCAAACATGTAAAATTACTCTAAACACCTTAGTTTAGGTCCAGATATAGCTGTAACAAATCCCTAGGTCCTTGTGATCGCAAAGTGCTACATCGCCGGCATGGTAGAACTTTTTAACCACAGGGACCTGCTAATTTGTTACAGCTACATTTAGACCTAACCTATGGTGTTCAGCGTAATTTTACATGGTTTAGGGGGTTAGATCGACTTTCGGTAAAAATGACATCACCAATTATACCGAAAGTCGATCTAAACCCCTAAAGCGTGTAAAATTACTCTGAACACCTTAGTTTAGGTCTAAGTGTAGCTGTAACAAATTCTCAGGCCCCTGTGTTTTGAACTTTTGCCTTGGAAAGAAAGAAAGAAAGAAAGAAAGAAAGAAAGGAAAGAAAGAAAGAAAGAAAGAAAAGAAAGTGAGAAACAACGTTTCACAAATTAAACCATTTTTAATAACTTAGTTTGATTTAATATGTATATACCTATGTGCAACTTTTTAAGAGGTGCGGCAGGTAAGTATTATACCTTTTTCCGTAAAACTGTCGTCTGCAAGTACTTTTAATTAAAATTCGTACGCGATAGTAAACTATTCAAACTTACTCGCTCACCTACATCCTCCTCGTGTTTATTCATTAGTAAGAATTATGAGACACAACACATGTAATATATCAAAATGACCGCTCGCCAAAGTGGCCATTTGGTACATTTCACGTTTGTGGAGAAAGAACCTTATCGGAATCATTTATATGTTATCGTATTCAGATTATCATTTGTCGGGCCGTAAACACCTCATAATACAATTAAGTACCATGCCAGTCAAGTACACGTAATGATATTTCAAAAGTGTTGAGTAAAAAGTGAGTATATACCTTTCTGGTAGATGTAATATAATATAAACTTTATTTACTTTACAACAACTATGAAACAAGCTGTTCTTACTTAAATGAATCACTCTTGATGGCCCGGATGTTAGCGCGCAGAGGGTCTTAATGCGGAAGTAAACCGGGCGGGCGGGTGACCCCTACTTTTTCACGTCCAATCGAGGAATCGAACCCCGGCCGCCTTGGTGCTATCCATGGCGCCACCCAAGTTGTTCAATAAGCGAGCTTTGTTTTCACGACCATCGTAGTTTACTTGGCTGGAAAAAGGTAGAAACAGCTCGTATTCGATTATGCGAATGCATACAATAAAATTTATATGATGATAATGATAACAAATAAAAACAATTTAATCAAAAGT